TTCACGGTAGGGAGAATCATCCAAGGTAGAAAGAGGGCGGGAAAGCCGACGTACTGCTTCTTCCTGGACGTGAAAAAGGCGTACGACACCGTATGGAGAAATGGGTTATGGACACAACTGTCCAAACACGGGATCAAAGGGAACATGTGGAGAGTGCTGAAGAAGATGGCAAAGTGTACTAAAAGCGCGGTCATGCCAGACGGAGAACTGTCTAAACTCTTCAACATTGAGCAGGGGGTCCCACAAGGTTGCACGCTGTCCCCAACATTGTTCCAGGTGTTCATCAACGATCTGTTGGAAGTCGTAGAGGCAGTCCGGAAGGGAGTAAAAGTAGGGGACACGGAAACGTCGGTTTCAGGAATGCTGTTTGCGGATGATTTTGTCGGTATGTCGGACACCCCTGAGGGACTGCAACTGCAAATTGACGCGGCGAAGAAGTTTACTGATAAGTGGAGATTGTCTGCCAACGTTCAGAAGAGTGCCGTCATGGTATGCAACGAGAACAAGGAGGAACCAGTAGAACATAGATGGAAGTGGGGGATCGAGGAGATTACAGTAGTGGACCAGTACACATACCTCGTAGTCGAGATCGCGTNAGGAATGCTGTTTGCGGATGATTTTGTCGGTATGTCGGACACCCCTGAGACTGCAACTGCAAATTGACGCACGGCGAAGAAGTTTACTGATAAGTGGAGATTGTCTGCCAACGTTCAGAAGAGTGCCGTCATGGTATGCAACGAGAACAAGGAGGAACCAGTAGAACATAGATGGAAGTGGGGGATCGAGGAGATTGCAGTAGTGGACCAGTACACATACCTCGGAGTAGAGATCGCAAAAGACTGCTCGTGGAATGCACACATGTCCAAGGTAGCGGAAAAGGGCAAATCACGAGCAGGGAAGCTGCATCCAATACTCGCAAACCGGCACCTCGATACACGCATCAAATTGACGGTTTTGAAGAGCGTAATCGTACCGCCGCTAGAGTACGCCGGAGAAGTATGGGAAGGAAATAAGAAGGTAGTGAAAGAACTCGAGGCGGCGCAGATGAAAGCAGCGAAAATCATCCTAGGATGCTCCAGGCGCACAAGTAATGCAGCCGTGAGGGCAGAATTGGGGATCCAATCCCTACGGTCGGGAAGAGAC